AAAATCTTAAATCCATTCAATCTTTATTCGAAATTTTTATAAATGATTAAAAATTAAATTTACATAAAAAGACTTACAAAATATAATTGTCGTAAACAATAATCATAGTTGAATATGTTAATTATACAAAAATTTAAGATTTTATATTAAGTTTAAATTGCTCTTAAGTCGAAGAAAAAAAGAAAGTGATAAAGAAAGAGTTAGAAAGAAAATAATGGGGGTTAAATGAGAAGGCAAAATGTGCGTTGTTTTCTTTTTCGGCTTATACGCATAGGACATCCGCTTTTCCGGTACTGCGAGAACAATTTTCCCTCTTGCCCACGATCTTTAAAAAACTCTGTGTTTGTTTAATTTTCACGCGACCGTGTGTAAAAATTTCATCCCTCGGCCCCGGTTGTCTTCCCTCTTCTAACAATTATTCTATATTCTCTCTCTCTCTCTCTCTCTCTCTCTCTCTCACACATGTGCATACTAATTACGAGCACGGACGAGGAGCGCAACTAGACGCGCTTAATGCGATTATTTTTTATTTTCGTTTTGGTGTTTTTATATTTACCTCATTTATTTTTTCATTTAACGCTGTCATTTACTTTTTTCTATTTCTAATTATTATTTTTTCACTTTATATTTATCTTTGTTATTTAGACGGGTCGTTTCTCTGACTCATGCAAATCCGGTAAAAATTACGCCAATTTTTTTTCGAAACTATCGACTTCCTACATAAACTTTCATACATTGAAGCTAGTTTTTGCTGTTTCGAATTTATTTTTATAGTCGATTAGTAATATTAAGGTTACTTTTCTTCCGTATATTTCATTAAAAGAAATTTAATTTCATATTGTTGAAAATACTGCATGAATTGTATTAATAGTAATGTTTTATAAAGAAAGAATAATTGACTTAGAAATCATTACTTATGTATTTTAAAAAGCCATGCTATTATTTTTAAATAACTTGAACGATTATACATATATAAATAGCTTTATTAGTAAATTTTATAATTTTCATATTACAACCATACTATGAGAATTTCTTAAATTTAAAAAAATAATGATCTTAATTATTTTATAAGTTCTAATTATATAATATAACATTATATGTATATATCTGATTTTTTTTTTTTGAAAAAAAAAGGAGTCATTTAAGAATATAGAATGAATAAAAAGCATTTATTTATATTATTTAGACAAATATTTATAAAAAAAATATACGTATCTATCTACAAGGTACATAAAAAATTATTAATATGATTAATTAAACATTTTAGTACTGTACAGAATTGTTTATATTAAATAATGAAAATGTAAGTGATAATTAAAATTTAAGTGATAATGAAAATTGATGGAAATTATAAAAATACATATGTAAACATGTAAAAGGTAAATATAATATATATAATTCTTTTGTATTGTATTATAAATTTTAAGTATAAAAATCTACATTGAAGTCTACAATAGAGAATTAGTTCGTGAAATTAGTATAAGATATTGGAAGAAGCAACAAAGGAAATTTACTGTAATATATCAATCGATTAACACAATCTTGCAGATATGTTAAATAACCACAGCATAATTTATGCGAAATCCCATTAATCTCAACTTGTATTAAATTATCGTAAACGCTTTTGATTTCATAATATACGCAACTATTATTTGTTTGTTGTTCATGAGCCAAGGAATTTTCTTTCTTATGAAGATGATACAATGGCTTAAATAACCTTGACTAAGTGTGCATTAGAGAGTTTAATATTATATTTATTTTTCTGAAACACAATCAATAATGAACTGTTAACAAGTAAAATTAAAAAAAAAAAATATTAAAATTTGTAAATGGTATAAGCAATGCGAAAATTATTCTAACTAAAGCCTATTGGGAATGTGTAAAAGAAATAATATAAAATTATTTGGTTCTTAGAAAGCTATATTTTTTTGCCTTTAAACAAAGACATTTAGGGAAATAATAATTTGTATTCAAACGGCGATTGCAAAGTTAAATTCTTAATTTTCGGAAAATAAATATCTAATCTTTAACATAAACTTGAATATATAAATTATTAAATAAAGCCTCCTTTAAAAACTAAAATTATTTATTTAAAAGAAATATGAAAAGTTTTGGATAAATCCATTAAACTATACATTTTTTAGAAGTTTTTGGCGGCAACTTTACAAATATAGTATCAAATGAAAATATATTTTTAAATTTTTTATTGCTTTTTATATCCGTTTGTAAAATATAAATTGCCATTTTCAGAAGAAAATATTTCCTTTAAATTGTAATAACTTAGGGAGTATTACAGGTATTTATCCATATTCTTAGCAGATTTATGGTCATTCGGTGGACCATTGATGCCTGTCACATAATACTTATATTTGAAATAATATTTATAATAAACTCTCTGGTGCTCTATTTTTCTTTTCATTTAATATAGAATAACATAAATATATAAGTATTATTGTAATATTTATGCTATTCTATATATATATATTTTAAGATTATTTTTAAAACAAGCTAACTCATATTGATCTCATAGTTACCCATAAAGTCTTTATGGATAAGTTTCATTATTTTTAGAGATACTTTTAGGCGGTAAAATAATGGTTGTTGGTAGGTTTTATGCCTATAAATCAATTGCTCTTAATTGAATAGGCCAACCTTGAAAACTTTATTGTTACAAATTTTTTTAATCGACACGTTTTAAAAGCTGAATTAGGTATACCTCAATGATATCAGTTTTAAGAAAGTTAAAAATACAAGTTTAATTTTTTTAAATTTTTTTAACGCCCCTTAATATCATAAAATAATTTGAAACTGAAAGTTAAGTCACGTTTCTATGATGCATTTTTTCTCGCTTTATACTGTAGATTGGCTTTAATTTATTGAAAGTTCGTTGTAATTTTACACGTTTGATGAATGTCGCGTTGCCGTCGTTTTTAGCATGCAGTACGCGAAGGTTTTGCAATAATTTTCAACGCTGCTAGCGTTCCTACGTGCATGCGTAAAATTCAGTCTGTAGTACCCGTGGCGCCTAAATATGCAATGCTTTATAGTTCTATCGATGTGATTGCGGAGCCTTATTTTTGTTCTTTATTCATTTAATAAATTCAAATTGAGATTTTGAGATTTTACTCTGATAAAAAAATCGACCGATCTTTCATGCATAATAATTACGAATTTTGCGCATTAATGTCAATTATAAAAAGGGTGCTGTAATGAAGGTAAAGTTATTAAAATTTTTCTCCGTCCTCTTGGAATAAGCCTATTTCACCCTGAAATGTTAAATCTGTCTGCTTAAAATTATATTCAAGTTTCTTACCACTTAGAATGAATAATTAAATATACTTGATGAATATTTAAATTAGTTAAAAATTTGTAACTAAAGAAAACTAAACAAGTTTTGAAACACCTGATACATCAGCTATTTATTAATTTCAGCTTAAGCAATACTCGTAACTGAAATGTTCCACTTCATATTTAAATCATAAAAGTATGATTATTATAATTACAATAATTAAATCAGTAAATATAAATTTAATTTATGTTGGTTATTTTAACTGTTTCAAATTACATTTACATATCTCGTAAAAAAATAGATACAATTAGCTTATGTAAAGTAACTAAATTGTATAACTGAGTTTTGCTTTTGTTTATTAATGTTTTAAATCTAAGATGTAAATAAAAATTTTGTTAATAAGATTATTTTATACATAAATGTTATATCTACCTTTTTTTTAATATTAATAACAATTTTTTGTTGTTGTAATTACAAAGAGTTTAAACTAAAATTATGTTTTTTCAATTTTATATTAATTTTGATAATCTAGTCCATTTCTATCCTTATTATTTATATGTGGATATCATTAATTAATCTACATGTAAAACACAATTCTTATTTAAAAAATTGAAATTATATTTTAAGTACTATTATACCTGTTATTCTCATAATATATTTTTATTTTTTGCAATATAAACTAATTCATACAAAATTAATGGAGTTATTTAATAATTATATAAAATAGTTTCATGTTGAAGATATTATTTTAGTGATTGAAGTGTCAGACACTCTTTGAACTTACTTTCATCAATATTTAATTGCATTTTATTTAATATTCGTGAAGCAAGGAATTGTTAGCTTGTAGATAAATATATTATAATTATTCTTCAATTTTCGCTTACACCAATGGATAAACAAAACAAAATCTAAGCGTCATCGAGAAAAAAGTTAAAATGTAATAAATTGTTTAATTAATCGTTTACATAGCATTTGTTTGAAACACCTTTGTTCGTATTTAACTACTTCGCATATATATTCGCATGCTTATTTGTATATGTAGTATGTGCGATATGATTATACTTATGTTAAGGTTTTTGTTGCAAGTCTTAAATAATAAATATTTCGTGACATTTAATATATAATATATATATATACATAAGCAATTTTGTTTGCATAAATTTAATGTCCATTTTAGTTCGTGATATTGCATAAATATTATTTAGACATTCATCGTATAATTGTAGATAATATGTAATAGTTCAGGTACAAAGTTGTTAGTAAGTTAAAATAAAAATATTCCATTGCGAAAACTAATCATTAATTTATCACGATATAAATGTATCGATCCACGTAAAAATATCTTTTAAATATAGCTATGATAAAGCAGTTTAGAATTCTTGTAGCTATGGAGCATTTTGAGAATACGGTGCGATAAAATTGTTGATTTTGGAAATGCTCTCTTCCGAATTTAAGCCATTTCTCTTCTACGCAACAGACATAACATTGAAATTAAATGTGAAATTTTATCATTAATAATTTGTAGGAGAAATCTATCGATCACTCAAACATATTTACTTTAACTATCTTAGTTGTTGAAAAAGCTTAAAAAAAGCATCTCGTTAGATTTAACGTATTACATGAGTTGGGAAACCATATGGGATACGAAATAGCGAGCGAATGACCCGTCGAACGGGGTGGCGGGGTGGGGCTAAACTTGATGGATACTCACAGTTCATGTTGAGGCGCACGCTCGCTGACAGGGGATTGGACCTGTTATTGTTGGTAGCGTTACAAGTGAGCTGAGTTTGTACGTCCTTGCGACCGAGATTTTTTAGCAAAAGCTCGTTCCGCATCAAACCTTCACGTTGACTATGGCTTGAGTTCCCCGCGAACCTTCCATTACGATACCAGTTGATCGACGGCATTGGTTTACCTGAAACATCCGTCCATGTTACTCATTTACTTCCCCTATTTCTTTCTCTCTCTCTCTCTCTCTCTCTCTCGTTCTCTTTTTAGATGGGTGCGTATCCCTGCCCTCATTTGCGTATCGCACCCATAATTCGTAGTGGCATTGGTCTACGTTCGATAGAGTTTGGGACGAGAGGAGGGGAGAGAGAGAGAGTTGTATGTGCATGTAACGATAAGCTCTGGGCTAGCTATTTTTCAGGAAGAGAACTAAGCTTCTGAGCTCCAATAATAATTTTTTTTCTATGAGTTACTCTAGACGCTTCAATGTAATAATGAAGAAAGCTAGTTGTGCCAATATCATGCCTATCCTATTAAATAATAAAGCTTAATATAAGGATATGATCATTATTGGTATGATCATTTTTAAAGTCAATTTTTGATTTTTATATTAATATATTAATATGCTTATATATTTTATTTTGTGTGCGTACGTTTAAATTCTATTCTAGAGTTATTGAATATAAAGAGAAATATTTTTTCGGCCTACTCATATAATTTCATTGAAATATAAATATTTTCAAATGAGATATTAAAACACGAATTCAAGAAGATAGTTCGACATAAGTATTCAGTGGTGATTACGTGGAAAATTAATAGCATCTGATAATTTTATATAATTTTTAAAAAATTAAAAAATTTATCGTTTTTACTATCGATCGAACAAATAAATGAGAATTGAAGTCTTGGCATTTTTATCTGATAATAGAATTTCAAATAAGGTCAATTGCTGGCTATCTTCATTGTCCACGTAGTTATGCTGTAATTTTATTGGGTCGATTATTTTTATAGTCGTGGGCATTATCCTTGATTATATTCTTAAAAAGATAACAACCAATTTCTTAGTCTTTAGAAGTAAAGATTAAATTTCTTTTGAAATTAACGGTTTCACATTCTTTCTTCTACGCATTCATTCTTTGTGCACTAATTTTTAGAAAATTCTGCAAATGATATTAATCATACTTTTTTTTTAAGTGTACTATACTATATAGTATTAGGTACAGGACATGGACATTGAAAGAGTATTTACCAAAAAACTGGTAGATTTTATTAATTATATTACCGCAATTATATTATTAAATTAATTGCATAATATTTTTGTTTCGTTAATTATATCCTAGTTTTTTTCCCCTTTCTTTGACGATAATTCATCAATTTTTTTTTTGTAATTTATTTGACTGAAAAACTCTTTAATAATTAAACAGTATAATTACAGTTTAACAGTTTAACATAATTAACAGTTAATAATTATACAGTCATAAAATATTTTAGTATTTTGTACGTTGAGATTTAATATATTTAAATGCTCAGCAGATCGTCTTTAATAATAAAAAGCCAATAGTCAATAATTCAGTGCCTTAAAATTGTAAGGGAATATGACTCGAAGAGTTACACTCTACATCAAATTAGTTACTTTTTAGAAAATTTCCTAATTGTTTAAAAAGTATACAATATTGTATTATTCGATTATCGACGGAGTTTTACCAAGATAAAAGTGGTTCTAAACTTTTTACAACTTAGCAAATAAAAAAAAATAATTTACGTACATGGCTAATATTGCTATACAAAATAAATTAAATGTACAATAATGGTCTTTCTTGTTAATATTACTTAATATGATTTGTCAAAAACTACGTGAGGTTTTTTTACTACAAATATTATAATAAAAAACACTTAAATTCATAATTACATAAATAGTTCTGAAACAATAACAAGATAAAATAATGTATAATAATAAATAATACTAGTTTTATCATTTGAGAAAGTTATAATTGCAGTATTACGCGTGCTCATTACTTTGTAATTAATCAAAATATCGGATCATTTACTTCAGATTTTTTCCTAAATAATTATGAGGAATATCCTAGATGAAGACGAAAAATGTTGCGTCAATAGCATAATAAACATTGTACTAACTTATCGTTGGACAATAAAAATTAATTTACATTTTTAGTTTATACCTCTATACAGTTTATTTATATAACTTCACTCTTTTAATTAATGAATTATTTTTTAACTATTTACGTTGAGAAAGTATTATAATTGTATATCAAATTAATTCTAAACACGTTGATAATTTTAAAAAACGAATCCACAAAAGACGACTGATTTCAACGAAACAATTGTATTGATTATAAAGCAAATCTGTAGTATAAATGTATTTGTTCTAATTTATAGATTCACAACTCTTCTTTCATTATCTTACAATTTTTGGTATAAATGAACTTTCTAAGTATACAATTAAAAATACATTTAATTTTGTAAAAAATAAAAATTGTTTATAATTGTATACGTTTCAATATAAAATTTAAAATATCGTCAGGAGTTTAAATTTATAATTTGCTGTAAAGAATCTCTTTGGGAAAACATAATATTCCTTTCACGAAACTGCATTAATATGATTATATATTATTCCCAATTAATTCTTTTTATTAATCTTTATTATCCCAATTCCCCATTATAAAGTATAAATAATAATTTATAATAAATTATAGAAAAATATTCTTTTTTTAGTTTTAATCTTTATTTTATCTATCTACGTCGATTAACTAGTACGTTTTTTAAAATTCTTTATTTATTAATTTTTCCATATACAAATATAAACATGATACTTTTAAGACGAATAATGTATTTCAATGGGAAAACTAAAAGTAATTATTTAATTTTAAAATTTGATTGTTGCTTATAAATATAAAGCATTCGTCTATTATATACAGTTATGATGAGATAAATAAGTTATTAAGCATAATACTATAATACTTAATAATAATGACAAAATCTTAGAAACTTGAATAAAACATTTATAAGATAATTTATAAATTGAGTTATTAAAATCAAAATCAGTTTAACATAAGAACATGAAATTTTGATAAACTATATTATAAATAATAATTTGGTAATCAAATATATGAACTAAATAAAGTTTTACAAATATTTTTAATTACTAACACTACTATTTTTTATAGTAGTGATAATTAAATTTTCACAACGTTAATGTATTTTTTAACTTATTGGATAAATATCGAATAAATTGGATATGTTGAATGAACATAACAAATAGGAGTATTGTCGAATAAAAGCATACAAGTGCATGTGTGCGTGGATTTGTGAGTGCACGTGTTGTAATTATAAGAGCAAACGCAAAATTATTTTTGATTATAAACCGTACATTTGCATCGAAAAATATTGGATACTTCTGTTGATAATGATATCTAAAGAGTGAAATAAAGAGAGAGAGAGAGAGAGAGAGAGAGAGAGAGAGAAAGAGCTTAATGCAGGCAGTATATTTATATATGTATAGGTATTAGGCGCACGTTTGCCTGTATTGGAACAGAAATAGTGAAATCGTACAATTGGCGTTAAGTATCTGTCTGTACGACAAAAATAGAATCATATAAAGAAGCCATTTATAGTAAACGTATTATTAAAATATTAATTAAAAATTTTGACATATATATATATATATATATATATATATATATATATATATGCATTTGTGCGTGTGTGGTTGTGTGCCTGCGCTCCTGCATAAAGACCATTGATTTTTCCAAGCCCTGATAAAATACAATTATTTTTTTCCTTATTTATTTTTATCATCAGTTAATTACTTAATTATTATTTAATTTATTACGAATTAAATATACGATAAAAACTATTAAGAATTATTTTTCATTTTGTATGAAAAACGTTGGAATTATTGAAGTGTATGCGGTTGAATATGTATTCTAAGATCAACATTAATACATTATTATTTTTCAAATTTTAATAATAATAAGAAGATATTTATATATGTATTATTTAATCCTTCATTGTAATATTTTTCCTTATATCGTTTATACTTGATATTCACAAAATCAAATTTTATAAACTTGTTACATCATTTTTTTAAAAATTTGTTTTTAAATGAAAATCAAATAAAACATTCCGTATACTCTATTCTGTATGTCTATATTTAAAATGACATTAAAGATATTAAGGTTCAAGTAAATTATATAAAATGAAATTATGACAATGTAATTCGAAACTGATTCTCTCGAATTATTTATTATTTACTATTTAATAATAAAAAATGTATAAGGTTTCTTAATGTAAATTGAAATTTAATATCCAAATATTGCAAGTAAAAAATTGAAAAAATAATTTAATCAATTATCGATAAATTACTTTTAATTTAAAATATTTCAATATTTAGCACTATTCTACCTCGTCTTTTTCATTATATACCAATAAATAATACGGAAATACTATGTTTCTATGGTTATATTTTATTATGGAATAGTTTATAGAAAATTTTATTTAAAAATCCCTACATCCTAATATTCAGCCTTTTTGAAGGGTAACGTAAGAAAGGGGATAACATATTTAATAAATCAAATGGAAAACTAGAAGCAGCGATTCATTTAATATTCGTAAATGGCAGTGAAGTGCTAGTACATTTCTAGGAAAATCGGTCACTGTCTAATACGAAAATCAATAAGTTCTTTTGGCTGAAGAGTAAGCAAAAAAGGGAATTCAAGGGAATTAGAAAAAATAGTTCAATTTATCAGGAAATGTTTCCAAAGACAATAATAACATGACTGCCCATAGAGCTGTATTAATGAAGAGTAAATGTGTCATTTGTAACTTACCTCCGTGGACGTCGCAGAAGAGTCTAATGTTATCTCCTTCGAGGTAGGGTCCAACACTCGAGCCTAATACATTGCCATTTTCGTTCAGTAACGTAATTTTATGAGGTGGAACTGCGAAAGAAAAGAGAAAAGTAAAACATCAATTTCTATGTATAGTTACTTATATAGGAAATGACGTGTTCCAAATAGTTGCAAGTATCATTATATTACACAAACTTGTAAAGATATACATGATTACCGTACACATTTGCACTTTCTTCTCGCAATTATGAGAATTTATAATATACTAATATTACTGATATTTATGTATTTACAGGCATATAACTTGTATCATTGTATATTTTAAGTCATATTGAATTGTATTCTCTACGCTATTGTATCAAATTGAAATTTTCAAATCGATTTCGTTCTTATCTGACAAAAATGTATGTATAAGCATAAATATAAGGTACGTATATGGTCAGAAAAGAATTTGAAATTGGTTAGAGAATATCACTGAATACTGAAATTCATTTATCTATTTAGACATTATTATCGAAGGGAGATGAAAAGAATTACCAAATAATTGAAAAATATTAGCAGCATGCTTTATTTATTTAATATTCAGTAGAGTTATTGTGCCATTAAAACAATAGTAGAAAGATGATGCCATGAATTTTTAAAGACGAGTAAATAATAATTAATATTCTAGATAATTCTTACTTAATTCTGAGTATTTTGTAATAATCAATGATAGATTATTCCCAAGACAATGGTGGGAATTTTGATTATATCGCTAATGAGATTCTGGCAATATTAACTTTGGAAAATAGGTTTAAACTTCATTTGACAAATATTTATATTCATTTTTCAAAAATACGAATTTCTCTTCAAAGATTATTGCTTGTTTATAGCTACATTGCAGATTAATTGCATATGTAGAAATTGAATTTTCAAAATAAACATATTTATGAAGTATTTAAAAATATTCAATACGCTATATCATAGCTAATTTATATATTCGTAAAATATAAATCTCGAATACTTTCTAAAAATAAGCATTAAACACTAGTAGCTTAATTAAAGGCTTGTGCTTTCAAACAGATAAAGAATTAAAATTGCTATCTTGTAATCAAAACGAATATGGTTAATTGGAGATTCATATATATATATTTCGGAAAATACAGAGAGAGAGAGAGAGAGAGAGAGAGAGAGAGAGACATTCAAGATAATTTTGAAACTTGAATTGTTTTTTATGTAATATATCTGACGCAGTAAATTCTACAACGTGAAATATTTTCAGTAACGTCATCGCGATCGTAAAAATTTGTTACAGTAAACAAGCTTTATAGCGTAGAGCTTCGGACATCTGTGAAATATCAAAAGACCTCTTTCTTTAATTACTGATAAATATTGGAAAGTTTCCGTGGGTCGTTTTTTACATCTTAGTTTTTTCTCTATTTTGGCCATCGCTTAAGCATAAATTCTTGCACAGATTTTTCTCGCCTACGAATTCACAATATTTTGGGTGCCAATTGTTCATCTCTCATTCTATTGATCTTCACGTTTCATCTTTTCCACCTCGCTTCCTCACAATATTCATTTTACAATATTAAAAAATAATTCAATATTATTTAAGGGAATAACATGAACTAAACTGTACTAAATACCTATTAAATATAATATATTAAGCAATTTATTAAGGAAGGAAAATATTTATCTGAGAAAATTTTTTAATAAATAATAATTACGGATGAAGGTAATTAGTCTCTTCGAAAATAATAATGTAATTTCATATTTTTCAAAACGTAATTTTATAGAAAGATATTTTATCTAGTAAGAGAAGAAAAGCTATTTTATAGAAAAGTTTTGGAAATGTTATTACATTTATCTCCATTTTTTTTTTCCTATACGATATTCATATATTAATTGATATTCTTATTAATTTCGCTGTTATTAGGATTTTAAATAATATCAAATGAGCAATATATGTTAGAAAATTTTTTAAGCTTTACTTTAATAAATTATGAATATAATATTTCTCTACTATTAGTTTTATCTCAATTTATTATGATGATAAAATTCAATGCTTACAATAAAAAAAAATCAATTTTAAAATTTATAAAATTACTTCATTAGCTATTTATGTATTTCTTTTATTTTTTACTAAAGTCTATAGTTTAATTTTTCTTTTTTAATATAAAGCAAATATTTATTACTATCTCATTTTAATAATCAATATTTATACGATCTTGTTTGATATTAAGTTTTCAATCCAATCTAATTAAATTTGATACATTCAAAAATATATATTTATAATTAAACATTTTGATGTATATAATGATGTATATATAATATATATATATATATATATATATATATTGATTGATGTATAAATAATTAAAAAGATAAAATACATATGATGAAAATTAAAAGCAAAATAACTTATCGTAATAAGTATAATAAGTATATTTTGATAATTTTAAGTAATTCCAACTAAACTTTTAACAAAAATAGCATTCAATAATTTTGATAATAATAGTTTAATTATTTTTTTCTATAAACTTTATAAAAGGTAAAGTTCACAAACTATTGCGTGCCAGCTAAATATTAAAAAAAATTAAACCTATCATAAATCAGAAATTATCTAAATGTTAATAAATAGCTGAACTCAATCTAATAGAGTAATACATTAAATAAATTAAGAGTAGTGGTAACTCTAAAGAAAATATATGTTTTATTTCTATCGATTCATGATTTCTAGTAAATTAAAAAAAAAACTGTAAATATTTCTCTTTTTACTTTTTAATTAAATGGTGAGATGCAAGAATTGGAAATGGTTAAAAATTTTATAAAGAATTCTTTCCGACTTGTTCATGTTTCAGAGAATGACTGTATGAATTTCCTGATTTATAATTTTATAATATTACAATATATATTTTTATTCGATGCATTTTTGTTTGTGAGTTTTTTTTAAACATAAATAGGCAAAATTTCATCGAAAATGTATTTAGAAATTTATTCGCTTGCCATACATATGATATATAACATTAATTTTCTATATGTTTTATAAGCAAAACTGTGATAGAAAAATATATTTATAAGACTATAGTCCTACATATATACAGAATTTTTTATTTCTTATCTTCTTTATGTTTTATTTACAATTATTTACATATTTTATAATTATTAAATAATAGAATAGTTGTATATACATTATTATGTAACTTAGTATCTAGCATTTTTATACTTTGTATTTATGAGCATATTCATATAAATTTATACTTTAGTGGTCAATTTAAAAATAATATTACATAATAATATTAAAATTTCTAACTTTTTTCAAAATGTAAAAGTATTTCAAATGTACTTTAAATGTCGAGGATTTTTTAATATAAATGTAGCTAATACATTAATTTGCTAAACTTTACATCTTTCTTTTCACTATTGAAAATAATGGAAGTAGAGTTAAAAATGGAAAAAGTTTTACAATCAATATTTTTAATTGGCGTTAATTTTTTAAAATCGAAATTTTACCCTAAGTTGGCCTACCTATGTTTGCAATATTGATAGGAAAAGATTTTTCAAATATTAACATTTCTAAAATTGATTTAATTTTTAATTTAATTCATGAGATGCGTTATATAATAATTTGCTTGAAATATATTTATTGCATTGAGTTTTAAGTTTTATTTTATGATAAATAAAAACTAATAGTCATATATAATTTTATCTATTGATCGATTGAAACAAAGGAAATAGCACATATTTTAAGATAAGATTGTATATAATATCGAATAACTATGAAAAAATTTCATAAAAATAATGAATCACTTATTAAATATTTTACTATGTCAAGGAATAATCGATATAGAATATTAAATTATTATTTTATATAAGCATTCTAAATAGATTTTTCGATGAATTTTCTTTAAAATCATATATATATATATATATATATATATATATAACAGATGTGGTATTTATTTATATATGAATTTTTTATAAATATATCCTCTATTTTTATGCTTACTAGTTAGAAAATGTAAATATTTGAAAAAAATAATAATAAAATATCATTAAATTTGATGTCTTATTTAGTTAGTCCTTTGTAGTCATGACAAACTTTATTTGTGTGAAGTTAGCAGACACGATTCTTGATCGTAAAAAAGTAAGTTTTGGTAAATCTTATGTAGAAAAGTAAAATAAATAGCAGAAACTAGAATGAGTCGCGAATACTAAAGTTTGCTCAAAGGAAATTTATTTGAAGTAGTGAGCAAGTAGAATCATAATGGATCCAGTTTTTTTTTAACGAAAGTATCTGAAAATAAGATTTTGGTTGGCTTGTAACCTGGAAAATTCAACATTCGAAGTTACAAACTTTTTTGTTGTTGCGTGAAAAGTATTTTTCATCTTGAGAATATACTATTCAAATATTATGATTCATTAATATTGATGAATTAATACAACTATGTATAATATTATTTAGAAGTAATTATAAAATTAATTAAATTGCCGAAAAATATATTTGTAAATAAATAAAAGATATATTTATTAAATACAATTTATTTATTTATGAATTTAATAGTCTATATTTGAATATATCAGTTAATTGTATTTAGATAAAACATAAAAATAAGCAGTGAATTTGAAAAACTAAATTTTTAATTATTATAATTAAATTATAGTTATATCTTATTTAAGAAAAATTTCAAATAAAGTTTTCAGTATATATATATATATATATATAATAAAAGTATTGCAAAATTTGTAATAGTTTATTATTTGTGCACATAACAGAATTTTGTTTAGAGTTAATAAATTACTTATAATTAAGCATATTAGATTTCATTTGAAAAAAAAACTTATCATTGAACGATGAAGATTGTTGGTATGAATATATTGCAATAAGTTTTTTAATTTCTTTGTAAAAATGTATTTTTCATGTAGAATAAGGTTTAATTATGATCAACTTCATTTGCAACAATATGGATGTAAAATCTTTATGCGTTCCAGTTTAAAATATATAGTTTTTGCTCATTATTTATAGAAGAAAAATATTATGTTAAATTATGTTTTGTTCATAGCAAAAATACTTTCTTAATAATAAAAATTATTATATATATAAATTT